TTAGTATCTCTAAACATTTTAATTAATTATAAATTGATAAATTCAAACAAATTAAATAAATTTATTGTAAAACCGTGGGGCCTCAAAAAACATTCATTTGGTTTGATTGTAAAAATTAATTAATAGTTATAATTATCAATTGATAGTTTATAGAATAATTAATATTTATTATTTAATAGTTTAAAATCAACTTATATTTTAGTATCTCTAAACATTTTAATTAATTATAAATTGATAAATTCAAACAAATTAAATAAATTTATTGTAAAACCGTGGGGCCTCAAAAAACATTCGTTTGGCCATAACGGCTTTGCCACTAGTCCAGTCGCTGTTAATGAAGATGCCCCCAACGACCTGGATTAATTAAGAAGAAGTGGTTATTGTCACCATAAATATTATTAAAATCACTAAAATTTTAGATTTATATTTTTTAAATAGTATTTAAAATATTAGTTGGTTAATTAATTTAAATTTATTAACTAATAAATATAAACAATTCTATTAGTTATTACTTAATAGTTATTATCTGTCAAATTAAATTAAATTAATATTTTAAAAATAATATTTTATAATTTTAATTTTCATAACATTATTGTTAAAGACCTTAACTGTGCCCCAATACAGGTATTATCCAACACATAATACATACCCCACAACCTATAAGTTATAACTTAACACCTCATAGGCAAAATGACACTTAACCAGAGAGGCAGCACTGGAAAGGAATTGCACCAACGGCAGCTTAAATCACTATTAGTTATCATCCACAATTCTTCCTTTTCTCAAAATTAACTTTAGTGGGAAGTCCATCTTGCAACAACTGCCAGGAAAAAGCACTTACTCTGGGTGTTGCAGGGGTTCTCCAAATTTTCTTGTAATTAAACTGCTGCTTCCCTTCTTTTCTTTGATAATGCTTCATAATTAAGCTGATTTTGTTGTGTAGCTCCCTGACTTTTCACGCCATCACATCCAGGTATATATCCTTCCTTTCTTCCACCATGCTTTTCTCTCTATCATCTTCAGTTGGTCATTCATCATATCTTCCTCCTCATTGCGTAAAACAAATGGTAAATCTTATTATAAGATTGTCCTACGCCCTCCAACAAATTTGAAACACCCATAGCTGCAGATAAAGGACCCATTAATGACAATCTTGGTGCTGTGGGAATTGACATTAGTGTAAATTTTCAATTATTCCATAATTTCGTGTGCTAGACAAGATACAAATGAATACAAAGATTAATGAAATATAAATATGACCATATAATAGGGATAAAGAACAATTATATATATATAGATCTTGAAAAGTGTGTTTTGTAAACTTTGTCTGTATTAGATTTGGTTAGGTGTTTATTAATTATAAATTTTTGTATTAATAATTAATTAAAAGTATATATTAAACTAT